TTTTTTTTTTTTTTTTTTTTTTTCATGTTACCTGCTTAGCTCTGTCAGGGCTAAGGCCAGGCCTTGTCCCTGTACTTCTGTTCTTCTACATGTTCCGCGAGCAATAAACTGCCGGTAGGGATGGATAGAGTCATACTTACATACGTGATAGTCATTGCACTTATACAACTCTCTGGAGCAAGTATTGTCACCTGAGAATTATCTGGGGGTGCTGGTAGTGAATGCGGTTCCTGGGCCCCAGAGCCAGACTCTGATTGTCAGTTGGTGTGAAAACCCAATGAATCTATACCCTGAGGGTTTATGAGGAACATGCATCCCAGGTGTATCTGATGAACTTGGAGAATAGTTCTTTAGAATATATTAAGTATTTTGAATAGAGAATCTCATTCAATCTTATCAGACAGGGATATAAATCCTCTAAAATAACTTCATGATCTCACAAACTTAAGTACCAGCAAAAGGCAGGATTTGGAGAGCCAATTATCCAGAACCACCCTTTTTTGCTTCCTAGTATGCCATATGTAAGGGCTGCATCTGTTATGGTGAGATTGGGCCCCAACTCCAAAGGCCCCTGCCCAAGATTTGGTAAATTTCCCTGATATCCTAGGGCCACCATGACCTTACAGTTTATGAGTTTCCCTTTTGGGGATGGTAATCATGGCCACGTTCCGCACAAAAGCTGGTTTCTCTGCAGAGAGGGAGAGGAAGAGAGAAAGAGCTAGCCATAAAGGTGAATGGTGTGGTCCTGGCCAGCTCACCAAGCAGGTGGCTAGTAAAGCCACAGATGTTCATAGCAGACCCCACACCCCAGAGTGACAGAATTGGCAGCAGGGACTGTCCTGCTTCCTGTCTGGGCAACTCCGTGCCATAGGTGTATGAAGGGATGGTCAGTGTGCTGGAGCACTCTGTGGCTCCTGAGGGAAGGCTATCTTCAGAGAGTCAAGACTGCACTAAGTGTCATCTGGACAGTCCCACTTGGGAAACATTAGGTCCTGTGTGTACAGTGGTCTGGCATAAAGTTTACCGTGCAGAACTTGAGGAAGATGACAAGTATGTAAAAAAGAGAGACAGACAGACAGACAGACAAGGGTTATACGCCTAGTGAACCAGTACAAGTGTGTAATGCCTGAGTCCACTGACTTTCTGTGGGACTGAAACTGAAGGTCTTCCTTGGTAGAGCCCCACTGTCTCTAGGCTGAGGCCGTGGTTGCTGGTCCAAACAAGCCAGCTTGTACCTGGGAGAGGACTTGCCCACTACGACCACGTACATGTCAGAAAATGGGGAAAGGGGTCGTCTGGCTGCTGACTCTTGGCATGAACTGTGTCTTTCTGGAGAATGAAAGGCTCTACAGATGAGACAGAGCAAAGTCACATATCACCCTTGACCTCCACCTTCTGCATTCCCCCGCATGCTCATGCGCGCGCGCACACACACACACACACACACACACACACACACACACACGTGCACGCGCACACTGACCACTGAACTATCTTTCCAAATGAATGACACTATGGTCTGTCATGAGGCCTAAATACAGTTGAACTATTGCTTGAATGGGTGCAACTGGCAAGGAAAATTTTTGCAGCTAATGCTGGAAGTGTGGCAATCAGAGAAGCTGCCAGCTGTCTCACTTAAATTCTTAGCTCTCTTGCTCTCTTTTTTTAAAAATCATTTTGCTTACATAATCCACCCCCTTTTTATTTTCTAATTCTCTCCTTGCAAAGCTGGCACCAGAGGGGAAGGGCTGGCGTGGGGAGGGGTAGCAATTACACATTAGTTTGCGGAGCATTTACATTTTGCAATTACAATTTAAAAATAAGTCCTGTTAATGATCTCCACATGTAATGACAAACCTTAACTTACACACACTCTCCTGGGCCTGCCTGCTGCTTACCCCTGAAGCCAGAGGCTCAGTGGAGGGAGAAGTTCCCAAGGAGGTACTGCAGGAGGTGGGGACAACTCAGATCAGAGGGACAGCCAGGGAAATTCATATGCCTTTGAGGACAGAGATCAGGCTGAGAACATGGACACTGAGCCTTCGGGTCTGTAGCTTCTCTCCTCCCTGTGCTCAGGCAGGATCCTGATCCACCCACTGAGCCCTGGTATGGTCAATCTCTACTCTGAGGAAGCAGCGTCAGTGCTCAGAACTGTATCAAAAAACCCCAACTTGCTGATGTTCTCCTAGATAGGAATTCTTGTCCCATTGAGCAGAGATGGATCCCAATCAAAAGCCAGTCAACCTGCCACCAGAGGACCCCCGCTGAGGATTGGGGCTGCCTGAAGCCATCAGTGCGACCCCTCCCCTACCAGGCCCCGCCCACTAACGGAGCAGCCTCCCTGCCACCATCCCACCCTGTCCTCAAGGACTGTTCAACGTATGTAAATCAATAAATGTAATACACTATATTAACAGAATCAAGGACAAAAACTGTATGATCCTCTCAATAGATGCAGAAAAAGCATTTTACAAAATTCAACACCCATTCATAATTTAAAAAGAAATTCCTACAGAAAATTGGAATAGATGGTCTCTGTCTCAACCTGATAAAGGCTATGTATGAAAAAGCCGACAGCCAACATCATACTAAATGGTCAAAAACTAAAATCCTTCACACAAAAATCAGGAATGAGACAAGGATGTCCACTATCACCACTCCCGTTCAATATAGTTTTAAAAACATTAGCCACAGCAATTAGACAAGAGAAAGAAATGATAGCAATAAAGATAGGAAAGGAAGAAGTGAAACGGTCATTATTTGCTGATGATATGATACTCTACATAAAAGACTGAAAGAACTCTGCCAAAAGACTTTTAGACTTGATTGACAGATTCAGTAGAGTAGTTTATACAAGGTAAATACTCAGAAATCAATAACCTTGTTGTACACAAATAACGGTCTCACTGAGAGTCAAATTAGGGAAACAATCCCTTTCACAATAGCACCCAAAAAAATGAAATATCTAGGAATCAATCTAACAAAGAAGACAAAAGACCTCTACACTGAAAACTACAGCACTCTTAAAAAAGAGATTGAAGAGGCTATAAGAAAATGGAAAAACATCCCTTGTTCCTGGGTAAGAAGAATCAATATAGTGAAAATGGCCATACTTCCAAAACTGCTATACAGATTCTATGCAATACCTATTGAAATCCCAATGGTATATTTCATAGAACTAGAGAAAACAATCCAAAAATTCATTTGGAATCAGAAGAGACCTAGAACAGCAAAAGCCATCCTAGGCAACAGAGACATGGCAGGGGGTATCACAATCCCCAATTTGAAAATACTATAAAGCCACTGTGATAAAAACAGCACCGAACTGGCAAAGAAACAGACCCAAGGATCACTGGAATAGATTAGAAGATGTAGAAATATCTCCTGACGTACTCAACTACCTCCTCTTTGACAAAGGAACCTAACAACCTCTCTGGAGGAAAGATAGCCTCTTTAATAAATGGTGTTAGAAAAACTGGATTTCAACCTTTCAAAGATTAAAACTAGACCCGTAGGGCCAGGGATTTAGCTCAGTGGTTCTGCTGACTGCCTCGCAAGTACAAGGACCCAAGATCGACCCCTGGTACAAAAAAACCAAACAAACAAAAAAACTAGACCGGTATCTTTCACCATGCACTAAAGTGGATTAAAGATATAATATTAAAACAGAAATACTAAACTCGCTGGAAGATAAGTTATGTAGAACTCCTGAAGATAGCAGCATAGGAAAAGACTTTATGAACAAATCCTCAGCAGCACAGGAACTAGCACTAAGAATCAACAATTGGGATCTCATCTTTTTAAAAAGCTTCTGCACTGCCAGAGAACTCACAGGGCTAAGAGACAACCCACAATATGGGAAAATATTTTTACCAGCTGTTCTGCAGACAAAGGTCTACTATCTAGAATATATAAAGAACTAAAAAAAAAAAATTAGACCACCCAATATAAAGACCCAATTCAAAAATAGGCATCTGAAATAAACAGACATTTCTCTGAAAAAGAAGTAAAAGCAGCAAATAATCATATGAAAAATATGTTCAGCATCACTGGTCATTTGAGAGATGTAGATGAAAACAAAACTGAGATTCCATCTCATCCCAGTAAGAATGGCTGCTATCAAGAAATCAAGCAATAACAAATGCTGGTTTGGGTTGTAGGGAGATAGGAACCCCTCTTCATTGTTGGCAGTGCAGACTGCAACCACTGTGGAAATCAATATGGAGATACCTCACAAACAACTAGGATTCGAAGTCCCATTTGACCCAGCTATTCCCCTGCTGGGAATCTTCCCAAAAGAATTAAAACAATCATGCCACAATGATATATGCTTATCCATGTTTATAGCAGCACAGTTTGTAAAAGCTAAAACTTGGAAACAGCCCAATTGCCCATCAAGTGGAGACTGGATAAAGATGTGTTTTGTTTTGTTTTAATAAAATGGAGTACTACTCAGCCATAAGGAACAAGAAACTAGAGAGATTTATAGCTAATAGATGCACATTGACGCCATACTCTTAAGTGAAATTAATAAGTTACACATATGTAAATACCAAATAGTTTCTCTGGTGTGAAAAAGTAAAAGTGTAAATAGGATTAAAATGTATAATTGATATTGTGTAATAGGAAGAAATGTCTAAAAGAGTAAGGAATTAGGAGGGGTAGGGGAAAGGTAAAAATGAAAAGAAAAAAATATGTGAAAGGAAAAATGTGGAAACAATGGCTTTGTAAACAGGGAAGGGTGGAGGGGCTGAGGGGAGGGCTG